GGGAGGGGAGGGGCGGAGCTCTGCTTCCCACTGCTGTGTAGCAAGCCTGGAGGCAGGAGAGTTACATCTCAGCAAAAAAGAAGTTACATCTAAGAAAAAACACAAGTTTCAACCAAGGCTGCTACCCCATCTAACAGGTTGGCCTCACCCATGAACTGCTTCGTGCGCCGTTCTGAGGTTGTGTTAACGAGCAGTCCCGAGGTCCAAAGGCCATGGCCCTGAAGAGTCCACCCTACATACGGCCGCCCCCTGCCCGCCTGCGTGCGCAAGTGCGCACGCTCTGGACACGACACGACACTGAGCACTCACAAAGTAAATAATAAACCCCTGCAGGCACCCTGAATCCTTCAAACCTTTGATCATGGTGGTGGGGGCTTTGGAGTTCGGCTTCTGTGTAGTGGCAAGGCATTACATTCGAAGCCTAAGGGTGCCATGCACATCCGATGTCTACTGACTGTGCGATAAACAGCAATCGCCTCAAATCATCCCGAATTTGGGACTAAGATCTTCGTCGGAGGAGTATGGTGTGGAGGGTAGTCGCGTCTGGCTTGCTTGACTAGCTTCTGAGTGTTGCAGCGCCTCACAATGCACCGCAAAATTGGAAATGCAGCGAAGCTAGTGAGTAGTGCCGTCAGAGGCGCTGCTGCTTGAAGCCTTTGTTCAGTTCACTCTCTCTCCGATTGCCAGGACAAGGGACACAGAGCGCAGATTGGGTAAGTGTCTGACCCATAAGCCGCAATGCAGAGAATGACGAACACAGCGGACGATCCGGTGCTTCGAGGCAAGGACGTAAATAGTGTCACCCCGCAAAGAACAACCTTGAGACCGGAACGAGAAAAGCAGGTGTGCTAGCGGCAGGAGCTCACAATCATGCAGGAACTAAACGACATCCAGTTGGAGCATCCGGGCTACCAAAACACCCAGGAGTTGGATCCTGTCATAGCGTCGGCTCAGAAAGATGAAGCTGAAGAGCACCTCGACAGGAGGGTAACATCCCAAGCGGAAAGCTCACTTATTTACAGATTGCAGCCTGGAGGCAGTGAATGGTATGAGGCTCTGGTTGAGGACTTGGACCAAGCTTCCGGGCAGCCTCGCTGCCGAGTAAAAGACCAAGGGGAAGAAGGCTCCCTCGCCTTGCAAGGGACACAGGGAGGGGTCGTGGGCTTGCCCCGCCCCGGTCAACTCTTTCTCGAAGTATGGCAAGGTCTCTGTCAAAACCATGTCCTGGACTACCAACTTCCGGCAGGGTCCACCAGAGACTCGCTCTCAGCCCGCTACCCGCTACCCTGAGAACTCCTGTAAAAGAGCAGTACCAGCCAAGGCTCACAGGCCGAAGGCTCCCAGCAACACTGGATTGGACATGGCATAGTCCCACATGGACTTTGTGATCTGTCCTGCAATGCTAAACGAGAGCAGCGATCCAGCTTCGACAGACCATGTCCATTTCTTGAGACACCTCTTGTAATTTGACGCACTCCTTGGCGAAAACTGCGCCACAGCCAGACACAGTAGATGGACAGTTGCGCCAAGGTAGTCGTGAGAGCCAGAACTCGGGACAACTGCGAGCCATGCCATAGGACTCACGCGACCCAATTCTGCAAATTGAGTTTCATTGGCTACTGTGAAGAGTTTAATCATGCAGCCCGGGCGCAATACGTATGACGCAGCAACGGTGCCAACAGAACACGGTTTGAAACTCGATTCGCCACTGCCGCAGAAACCTAGGCAGACATCCAAACCTTGAGATTAAGGAGCCAGTCATCCGAACCTGAAATCTCTGCCCAGTCCCGGTGGCAAAAAGAATCGGCAGCATAGCAGAAGCCCGTGGAGACCTGCGCAACCGCCGAGAGTTGTTGTTGTGCAGCAGCTCGTCGTGTCATTACAATGCAAGTGAGGTGCTGCTGGATGTCAAGCTTTGCCGCTTTCAAGCGCTGCATCCTCGAATGTCTTGGCTGAAAGCTAGGAGAGCTCTTTGCCCATCCACCTGCGCAAGCGCCGCAAACGCCGCAAGCCGCTAGCGAAGAACTCGGTGCGTTTGCGCCTCTCGGAAGTCGAAAGTCGCCGCCGCTGGCCGGTCCCAGTGGCCATGGACTCCTTTGCAAGACGCTGCTTTCTACTACGATCCTCACGGAACTGAGCTCTCCTGCACGGGTAGGCCAAGGGCACCATACTCGGGACGGCCATTGCAAATCCCGCAGCTTGCTGTGATTCCGAAGCGGATGCTTCGTGGGGCGTGTGGTGCTGCATTGTACTATCGCAACGCATGTCATGTCCAAGCATGGTTCTGAAGGCCGAAGCCCAAGCCGTGAGCTTTGACGCGGTAATACACGGACGGCATGCTTGCCCACAAGTTCCGGCAAAGAAACTCAAGCCTGTCGCTCGAGTCCGGCCGAAATGGGCAGGTCAACGCGATCGAAACCTGCTCAGAGCACGTCCAGCTTCATCCTTCTGTTTTTCCGCTGCCGGCAAGACCTCCAAATCGGGCTCCACAGGGTCGCCAGTCAGCCTCAGGAATCCAGGAAGGACGACGATTCGTTGATGCAGCGCGTTGCAAACATTGGGGAGTCGGCGATGCCTCTTCCCAAGCATCAAGTGCTTGACCTTCTTCCTGGTGCGAAAAAAAGGCAAGCTTGAAGCCCAGTTTCACCTAAGAGCCTTTCTCCGACAAGCCCTCCGGCAGCATAATGACGAGAATGCAACTGACTGTTGAAAAGCAATCCGTGAGTTATTAGCCAACTCAATGTTACTGCTTTCGACAGAATACCCCTGAGTCGAAACACAGACAGTACTTGAGGCTAGTGGTGCAGAATGGCGCAGACTTATGCAGGCCTGCAGCCTGCGCGGCCAGGAAGCTTCTGCCCCTGCCATGGTACATGACATGGAGACTCTGAGTCTCAACACGATGACTCTCCCTTCCAGGAACAACGAGTATCACATAGTGTCACTAACACAAGAGAAGTTGATGGCAGCATCTCTGCAGCCATTATTGAACTTGGCAGTGCTGTTCTGGTTTAAGTCTCCTATAATGGTGTGGAAACCTTGTCTGAAGGATTGTTTGCAGTGGCAAGCATCAGGGTCGTGGCCTCCCCGGTGTCTCAGTAGCAGTCTTCCAAAAGTGTGTCTGTCACTGGTACCCGTGAAACATGCAGGCACCGCGATGCTTTCCAGAGTTCGGCACCTGATAAAGGCATCCGAGTCTCTGGCACCGAGTCTGGGTAGGGTCCCTTTAACGTCGCGAGTACACGCACCACCTGAAATCACTCCACCCGCGCACACCAAAGCATCTCGTCGCGAACACATGTGAAGCGTGAAACTGCAGACGCTGTCTGCATCTGGGGGTCAATGGCAAGGACTGGCAACGGCCGAGCCTGTCTGTTCCCTGGTCCCAACTGCATGGACTGGTAGGGCATACCTGCGACTGAGCAGTCCCCGAGCAGAGAAGAAAGGACCCTGAAATAGGTCTAGATGCTTCAAGCTCTGCACATTCGACACGCTTGCCACGACTGTTCAAAGATCACAGCGAGTGGGTCACCTGCAGACTCTGACCGTTCGTAAGACACCTGGCCGCAGGCTACAGTCCGTCTGCTCCGGACCTCTAGCTCATGCCGACATCCTGTCGGGGAAGGGATCTAAGAAAGCTTCCACCTTCTGTCATTAATGGCCGCCTTGTGCATTCTTGGAGCTGGTGCCTGCCATCCTGCCGCTCAGATGAAACTCGGAATTCCAATCTCACCCAACTCGCAAGCTCAGCGCAGCCTCGAGCTCTTGAGTCCACCGGCATGTCGCTGACTTCGACCTGCCGCAATGCAGGACCAAGTCAGTATATATATATATATATATACTGACAGAGTACAGTGCCCCCAGTGTGGAACATGAAACAGGAAGGAGAAGATGAGCCCAAAAGCATCCAGTCCCCCTAATGCTTGATCCATGTTCGTAGATGAACGAGAGAAACGGGAGTACCTTGATACATCTATGCAATGTGATAGACATAAAATGTACCAGCCAATTAGTTTGCTTTGCTCGTGAAAGCTCAAGGGAAAAAGATATTTCAGAACATCTCGTTATGTTATGAACTATTTTGATAACTAGTTATATCATGCTTGCTGTACTTATAGATTTTGTAAAAGAGTTCATAGAACATCTTATTGAATGCAAGAGGTGCAAAAGGTACTATCCAACTAATAACTTTGCCATAGTCAGCAATAACACTTAATTCAACAAACTGTAAGTATTGCAGGGAAGACTTCAGGAAGGAAGGCGAGAGGAAAAAGCTTCAACAGATCTTACAAGCGCATTAAAGCTTTTAAAGCGCTTTGTATATATGAGCGATTGTTCGTCAGAGGTCAAATGCCCGATGAAGAAATCGAAAGCATAAGTTACAAAACCAAAAGATTTATTTAGCAGTCCCACAGAAAGAGTTGTAAAGTTAAACGGTAATAAAGAAAACATCAATCTAAACAGTAAACCTGAGATTACAAACCCTAACTAAAACAATCGTAGGAGTTCATACATTGAAAAAGTTGAATTCCAGGAAGATTAAGCAACCCAAGGAAGAAACAATGGGATATCATCATGCTTTATATGACGAAGACAATAAGGTTTATTTTTGAACAGTTCAAGGAAAACCGTTTAAAGAAAAAAAGACTATGTATATTAGGATATGGAGACTGATATGCAGAAATGCGTGAAGCGTGGTGAGATGAAAGACATAGCTGGCATTGAAGGGTTTAGGCAGTGTGGTAAGTGCCGAGAAGCAAGTAGAAGATGGGCTGAAAATAGGCAGAGGACAATACAAAGAAAACAAATGAGAGCAAGACAGAGCAGGTTTTGTGAAGAATATGGGCGCAGAGTGAAGCACGAAAATTGGGATGTCCATTTTTACTTTGGGACACATCCAAATTCTGAGCTATACAAATTTTGATAAGAACTATACTCAAAACTAGAAGAGATAAGAGAACAGGGAAAACTTACAGCTGAAATACGAGAAGAAATGTAAGCTGAGACGCGAAACAACAACACAAACTCTACAAAGTCCTACATAAGATGATCTCAGACAAAAATTACATTAAATTAGCCAGAAACAACACCAGATAGCAGGAAATCAACACGAACTCTTGAACACATAGAATTCTTGGAATCATTGCAACCCCTTGATGTTATTCAGTAATTGGTACAATCTATTCTAAAATAAGTTGATAAAAAAAGATGTTGCTAAAATTCCTTTGCATTAACAACACCTTGTAGTATCTACTGTTTCAAGCCCCGAACACGAAGTGCTCGTGTAGTTCCGCTAAGCTACATGAACTAAGCTACACGAACCACCCAAAACCGATAAAGTCTATCTACTTAGCCAAGCCCATTCGGAAGATAACAACCTTCCGGGGATAAGGGATAAGATATGTGACTATAGTACGCTATGTTGGGGTATGGGGGTGGCTAAGTTCCCGACAAGCATGGCTGATCGTAACTACAACTTGGGGGTACAGGGTGGGAGGGGGGGCCACGGACGCGACGCGGGACCACACATACCCAGCAAACGGGTGCAGTCGTTGCGGCCTGATCTTCGTTGCATCCGGCGAGCATGGCGAAAGTTATGGCCTCATGAGGAATACCGTGCAACAAAATTTGTGCAGCAGCTAAGTAGCTGAGCAGCAGCTCTCAGCATCAGCGACAATGGCATGCCAGCGACAACAGCATTGCGCTTGACAGTTCTGGGATGGCGGCCCAAGCACGCCTTTCTTGTGGCACATCGTCGTGCCAGTCGAAAGCGAAGTAGGCGGCTTTGCCTCCCGAGCGCCAAAACAGCTGATGGCACGGTCGCAGAAAGTCACAGAGCACGGCACCTCCGCCCAGCTGCAAGTCTACCAGCCCAAAGCCTAAGTCACAAGCTCAGCTGCCAGATCTACTGCCGACTTGACAAGCGAAGTTTGCGGATGCGTTAGTGCAGCAGGTGGCTATTGAAGCTTGAGGACGTCTCTTGAGCTGAATAGAGTCCCGTCCTTGAAAGGCGGAAACTACAACATGTTGCGACCAGTAACTAGGATAAGCACGTTTCTTCAAGATGCTGCATGCTATACTTACCCACTTACCCGGCGACAAACACCACACCACTCACGACACCTATCCTATCCAGTGGTTTCCTTATGGTTCACGGTGAACCCAAATCTTCGCTGACAATGTTAGGGTCAATTTCTGCCTGAAGGATCAGTGGCTCGAACCCTCAATGGCCAGCTAAGACATCCTTAATGCATTTCAGCTTCGCAGTGACGGTATGGCCGAAAGCTTGGCCACGTGGAGGCAATTTAACCTGACGTGATGGCTCCAGTCGGCTCCACATCCACAGCGCATTCTGCGAATGTGCGGCCCAGAGGCGGCTGTCATTGCATTGAGCACGGGAAGCATCTTCCTCGGCAGCTGTCATGACAGCGCTCGCGTTGTTCACTGCTCGCTCGCGGTGTAACGCAGCGACATTGAGGATGAGCCCTGGAGAAGCAAGCAAGGATCCCACAAGAGTTGGCAAAACGCTGGCATTGGAGTTAAGCATCTGGCGGCGGTGCTTGCAGCAACAACACCCGGCCGCCACGGACAGCATTACAGCATTACCCACATTGTCCCGGAGGGCCGCTCTTCATCGCACTCCCAGCAGTTAAATTCCAAGGCAAATATTCCACGAAGGTCGACAACGAAAGAGCCTCCATAAAGCCACGGAAAGCGCGAACCAGCAACTCGAGTGCAAACGAGCTTCAACCACTTGTCTGAGCACTGTGGCGCCACACTTGTGTGCCCGTCTTGCAGATACTGCACCTGGTTTGGGAAGCGAAGACAAGACTGCCGTGAGCACACCCTAATTCAGACAGCGCACGTTGCCAGAGTGAGCATGCTGCAGATTGAAACCGAAAACGTCATGCAGCGCCCGCCGATTGAAGTGACCTTGGCTACACATGGTTCAGCAGCGAACCTGACAGAAACCGCTAGTGACGGTTGCACTGAACGGAATCCGTGAGTTGCCAGTTTACCTGCAGGTATAGCTCTCACGAACCTGCGGGAGGCACTACGCATCCAGCATAATGAACACCCAACCTCCCGATAATTGGCTCTACCGGAAGCCAAATATATGCCCAGCATGAATGCGCCCCAAAAGCAAAAGCTGTTTCCAAGAGACCAATCCAAACAATTAAATCCAAATCTGTATCTGCTAAGGACGATACACCACAGAGTGGTACTTTGAACCGAGCTATAGTCACAACGGTTGAAAGGCTACAGATATACACCACATTCTTCTACGGCCCGACACAATCATGACTGAACTTTCAGTCGCAGGTCTTGCAGGGATGAGTACAGGGGCGGATGAGAATGACATGCGGCTTAACTTTTGGGGTGGGCACTTGGTATGCTGCGTGATACTTTGGGGAAGGTCACTGTAGGGATACTCTACCTGAGCATTCCAGGAACTGCGGGACAATGCTGTAGGCATGGGCTTCACTCCAGGGATGCTGGCAAAGGGAAGTTTGGGGGTGGTCATCGCGGGGATACTCTACATACTCTGCGGGATGCTCAGAGTAGACATGCCAGGAATCCTCTGCGACATAGTCTGCAGCGCAGTCAGGAGTACAGGAATGCGTGCGAGGAGAGGGCGAGGAGACTAGCTGCTTCAAAATCTAGCAGCCCCATGCCGGAGTGAGAAAACAGTTTACCCAACCAGACCTATACCAGCAGGCCACTGGACCTGGTCTCAGTGACACAGACTACACCACAATAGCTAACCCGACCCAAACACTTCCGTTTTGGAAGAGAGAGGAGACATGGGTGTAACCACAAGAAGGAACACGAGCGAGAACCACAACAAGAAACGCAGGAACCACAACAAGAAATGTAGGAAACAGGACAGCAACTTGAGGAATCTGTACTGCCCCCCCGCCCCCTGAACCCCAGAGGCCAGAGCACGGGCGCGGGGGAGTACGATTTTCGAGACTTTGAATTTCCAAATGCCGAAATCTGTACTCCCCTGCGCCCGTGCCCCCCTGCCCCCTGGAGCGTGAGTACGATTTTCGAGACTTTGTTCCCCAAAGCTTCGAAGCCGTAGAAGCCTCAGTGAGGTTACCACCTAATCTTTTTGATGTTCTTGCAGATGCTTGTTGATGTTCTCGGATCTTTGTTGAGGTTTCAACCCTCTCTCTTCCGTTTTGAACCAATTTCTGCCTACATTAAACGGACCTGCTCTGAACCAATGACACTCATCTAAGTTAACCTAAGGGATTATCAATATGCCTGAACCCAAACATCCTCTGGCTGACTAGCCGATTCGCCTTGTAACCACGTCAAGGCCATCCTGCCGTGCAGCCAAGCATTGCTGCAAGCAGTAAGTTATGATTCTGTGTGGCCTGAAGCCCTGGCATCGGACTTCAAATGTTCGGGTCCTGTGAAGGGACACCGTTGGTGATTCGAGCCGACCTTTTAGGCCCTACTGGCATCTGAAGGATTGAAACCTCATCTCCAGCTTGCTTTTGCGGCAGTATCTTCGCGCGCATCGCGGAGTTCAACATCTCAGCTCTTCTCTCCAACTGCCACCTGTCTGGATGGAGCCCATGTGTCGTCCTGAAACCGGCCATCTCGAAATGCGAAACGATTGCTGGTCCCTGCTCTCGCCCCGCTTGTCACCGAGAACCACATCTCGAAGAAGCATGCAGACCAGTGCAACAAGACTTACATGTTCTGAGAGAGGCCTCGTTGATGCTGGGAGCCCAACCACCAGTAATATACAGCTGGCCACCGTGGAGGACATAGTCAAAAAGAAGGCGCTCATGCCCAAGCCAAAACTTCTTGGCCACTTTGGGGATGATCACCTGAAAGAGACCCACCAATGCACGCAGTGACACTTGGTAAGGCCCAAACTCCTACGTGCATGCTGCACCTCGAACTTCCAGTCTCTGTAGAACTAGCGATGTTGCTGTGATCTTCGCAGCTCAGTCGCGCAGGGCGTTGATCGAGGCCCGTCTGAAACTTTTCTGTAAAAGTCCGCTAGGGAGGCAGTCGAGACATCCATGTGAGCTTTTCCCAGGTCGCTCAACAAGTTCGGAGTGGACGGCCCTGGCAAGTTGCTTGCAATCACGGATCTGGAGGATCCTTAACGCCGCTCCGAACGAAAGCTGAGCAGCCTTTGTCCAAGAGCAGGCCATCGTGCAGCAATAAACACCTCAGCGAACGTTTTTGGAAGACACTTGCTACGAATGTCGTGCTGCGGCTTCTGGCGTCAATAACAAACCGGCAATAACTCCCTTGTTTTGATCATGCAGTCCACGCCGCCGGGCTGCACCAGACCTCGCCGAGTCTAACAGTCAGACTCTCCACGGGGCAAAGACTGCTTCGCGGTTTGCATTCGCACGTTGCACCCGACTGCACAGTGGGTGCCTGGCCTCGGGCCCTCATCAAAAGCCACAGAGGAGCACGACGCAGGATGTTCCATCGCAGCATGGGTCTCCTTCGAGGCCCTTTGCTGGCCAACCTCGGTTTTTTGCAGTCAGATTGTGCAGCCTACACAAAAGCAAATTACGAGAGCTGAAAGCAGATTCCACAGTGGGCACATGGTCTCTTGCTCCGAAACTTCTGCCTCTCGACTGAGTCAAGGGCCTCACGAGCAGCCCCCCGTTCGATGCGAAGTTCTAGCATTCCACACGGCCTGCTGCCTGTCAACTTCGAGCAGTCACGAATGCGATGCAGCTGGATTGCCGAACTTACATCATGCAACGTCTGCTCGCTGCACTAGGCCAGCAAAATCAGCAAACGAAGTCCCCCTACACTCATAAGTAGGTTGAGCAGCTAGGCATCTAGGCACGGTGCATCAATCTCGAGACTTCAAGAGACTGAGAGGCAGGCTCGCACGTTGCAGGTCTACCGACCACTCGCTGCAGCTGGCAGGTCCAGCAATGCACGGAGTGACTGCAGGATCGCCGATCGCCAGACCTGCATGCTTCAGGCATGCCCCTTGTCAACTCATCGACCTCATTCGACGGCTTCACTTCTGAAATATTCTGGGACCGTTCCTGTTCCGGCAGGCACGCGGGCACACGCAGTGACATCTGCTTGACGGCTTTGGGAATCATAGTTCTTCCCCGAGAACAGGGCACAGACCCGGCATCATTTGCGGTTCCGCAAGCATTTCTTGTTGACAGGAACCCAATCCTCCCCTTCGCGTATGCAACGTGCGGGACGGTGCGCGCTTGCATACGCACTCCAGCACACGAGCGCTGGGTTCGGAAAATGTGCTCCCTGTCATCCCTTCCTGCGGCCGCACTGGAAGCTCCCAAATAGCATCGACAAGCTTAAGCTGTGCTTTTTGCAGGATGTTCGGCATCCTGCAGATTTTGGGACGCATGTTGCGGCTTGGTATTCGGCTCTTCTCCCCAGCTTCCCACAGCAGCTTCACTGGGTATGCTGGCCCTTGCCGACTTGCGGGGCCCCAACTTTGTACATTCAACACAAACAGACACTTCATCAACAGCTTCGATGCTGACACTCTTTTTGACGGCGTGAATGTCGTGATGAGCATCGCGGACGCCCATGGACATGTCAAAGCTGTATCGTTCCATTGGCGTGCTGCTTCTTGCTTCTACCGGTGCTTGCAGCACTGAAGACTCTTTCCGCTTAGCGGCTTCCATTCTACAAGCGATAATTAGTGCACATTATCCACGTGCCAGTGGGAGCCGGAAACGATTGATAAGTTGCGATCCAAGTTGGATTCACATTTCTTTTCTGTTGGCCTGTAGCAGTTGAACGTGGCTGATAATGCGGTGGTATACACGAAGAAAAAATCTTTGTCAATCGTACCTCCTCTCACTCCGACCACTCAAGTATGTTGTTTGGCACGACAAATGCAACGATAATGACTCCAATAATGACTAGAAAGCCCTTCCTGATCACATCTTTCCCTTTCGTGTGTTGTGGGCTGCCGTGGTTCCGAAACTTCACAGCCAAACTTCGACGAGCCTTCCAGGATGCAGTGCATCGGCTCCCTGACATGGCACAGGCTCAACCTGGCTCGTGGGTCCTTAGCGTCCAGAGACTCTGCCTACAAATGGCAAAAAAAATGACAAAAACTTGCTGAGACCTCCAAGGCGCAGCGACCTCGGCCGGCTGAGACCACGAGAAGAAAAGAGTCTTCCCATCGCCACTTGTCCTCGACGGGCGCGTCTGCGTTCGCTTCGTCTCAATATTCTGATCTTCGTTTTATATGGACATCGATATGTTCTTGTTCTTGTCGCTTTTCTGTTTCCAGCGAGCCCACCTTCCTTCCTCGCTCCCTCCTTCCCCACAAGCTAGCAAACATGTGAACAAGTGCGGCATGCAGGTACGCAGCTTCAATCACGAGCTTCATCGCTCGTGCTTGTTGCCAGCCAAGGGTATAG